CGAGAGTTGGATGTCGGAAAGAAATGCCGAGACAAAGAGTGAGTGAAAAACAGAAGATTGGGGATGAATAGAAAGGGAAACGAGAGGAGAGAAGGCAATGAAGCTACCGAGGAGGAGGAGGAGGGAAGGACTTCTAGCGAAAAGATACTAGAAGAGATGTTACCCACAATGATGTTGAAGACGACGACGTTGTAGTGATGATGACGCTGAAACTGATGATCTTCTAAAGATGACTGCCCTAGGCAATGGAGACAATGATGTTAATGAAAATAATGATAATGATGATGATGATGTAGCTAGGGTAATTCCCGATGATGCTGATAGACTGAGAATACCACAACAACGAGTAGATGATGAAAAAAAATCCCCAAGTAGAAGCCCTATCTTTGTCTGACGAAATCTTGCTGCCGCGTGGACTTCTCCTCGACGACTCCTCACTCGCTGCCTCCTGACGATCCTCTTCCCACTTCCCTTGACACACCCTCCTCTTCTCCCCCTCGCAATAGCTGACCTCCCTCCACTATAACTCACGAGATAAAGTGACAGAGTGATTACTCAAGAGACTACACTTACATAAAAGCAAGCCCCCCTCCATCCGGCATGATAGCCTGCAACAATTCTCAAATAGAGCACGAAACATAGAGATGGCACTTGTGTGCTTTCAAAAGCCAGGAGTCAACAAGTGACGTGTTTCTATCTTCCTTCTTGCCATCCAGTGGCATCTCATCAATCAGTTRAAATTAAGCMCCACCCGCCACAGCTTGAGATGCCTGCATTGCCCGTACTTTCCTCCATTGCTGCCAATGACTGATGAGTTCCTTGTGTGAATGGGCATCGCTCCACTACTTCGACATGCACAAAAGACAAAAAACATGGCGGTGTATTTGTCCATGTTCCAGCGGAGGATTCACTCTTGTTTTCCACATTGTCAACCCGCCGAGAACATGACACAATCGAACATGGTCACAAAGCTACTGCCTCTAATTGTCTGTTTCCGTTTTTTTTTTTTTTTTTTTTTTTTTTTTTTTTTTTTTTTTTTTTTTTTTTTTTTTTTTTTTTTTTTTTTTTTTTTTTTTTTAATCCTCATGATGCTCCCCTGCATTTGAGATTGTGTCTGAGTCTGTGTTTTGTACCTGGTGCCCACCTCTCGCTCAGTTTCTCCTGCCATTCCCTTGGAATAGCTGCCACCAGTAACCGGGTCCGCTCTTCCACCTCCCACATGTGCCCAAGGATTTGGCAGAGGCTAGTTGTTGGCTTCCAGTTTAGCTCTTCTTCGGCCCAAATGTTTGAGATCCTTAAAATGCCCTTTTCTATGCATTTATAACCAAACTTCCCTGGTTGAGAGGTTGTCGAAAAATACGAACCATCCATTTGAAGGATCCTTGGATTGTTGAACAGGGGTTGGCACAAAATTTCTTCTCTTAAAGTGGGATTCACGTGAGTTGAAGGTCGGAATTTCTTCCAGGCGATCCACCAGGCCAAACCCAATGCTGATTTTGGGCGACAATTAAAAAACGTCTGGTTTTGAAGGCACACCCACACGTCTGCTCTCCGTTTCAACTTAAATTTCTGTTGTAGTATATACTGCATGATCTCCAACCAGTTCCTGTTTTCAGTCTGCACCCCTACCTTCTGGATCCATTTGCCCAAAAGGGCCATATTCTGGAGTTTTGGATCCACCACCCCTAATCCCCCTTCAGACTTTGGCTGTGTGATTTTCTCCCACGACACTTTGGAGATAAACCCGTTATGCTCTTCCGCATCAAGCTTCCACAAATAACGGGCAGCTTGAGCTATGATTTTCTGCAGTGTACCTCTTGAAATCAAAATTACTGCTGAGACGTGCCAAATGAGCGAAAAAATTCACGTATTAACCACCGTAGCTCTCCCCATCAGAGATATCCCTGTTGCGGCCTTGCACCTGTTCACTCTCGTTTCTACCTTCACTGCCAAAATGACATCTTGTGTTGGTCTACTATTGCCCAGAGATACTTGCAGCCCTAGGTACCGTTCTGATTCTTCAAAGTTCACCCGTTTCATTGACCAGTCATCCTCCAGATTGAAGTCATGGGGAAAAAAGTAAACAAATTTATCCCAGTTTACTTGTGCCTCCGATAAGGATGAATAGCGCTCCAGCACCAATTTTGCAACATTCATTGAAGCTGGCGTGACTTCTGTTATCAACAAGACATCATTTGTGATGGCCCTGGTGATTACCTCTTTATTCTCTCTCAGTTGCAGACCCCGTATACATGGGGAAACTCTGATTGCATTTAAAGCCACTTTCATCTGGACCACAAAGAGAAGTGGTGCCAGAGGACACCCCTGACGTAGAGAGCGAGTCAGGTTGAAGGTTTTCGATCTCCTGCCATTGATTAAAACAAAGCAGTTGAAGACTGATACATAGCCGCCACCCAATTTTTGAAGCACTCACCAAAGTTCACATGCTCCAATGTTGCTAAGACAAACAACCAGTTTACCCGGCCGTATGCCTTTTCCAAATCCAGCATCGCTACTACCACTTGTCTCCTTTCTTTGTCGATAATCTCTAGCACCCCCATAGCAACCAAAATGTTTTCTGCAATCAACCTCCTTTTTACAAAGGCGCCCTGATCCGCGTGCACAAGGTTCGGAAGGTAGGCTGCCAATCTCCTTGCTAAAGTTTTTGCCATAATCTTATAGGAGACATTTAACAGGGAGATTGGGCGCCAATTGCGGACATTCCGCTTGTCCCCCTTCTTGTAAAGCAGCGTGATGACTCCCCTACACATATCTTTTGTTAAGGCTTCTCCTTCCAACACCCTATTAAACATTCGTAAAAGGAATGGTTCGACTTGCTGCCAAGTGGCTGCATAAAACTCCATTGGAAGGCTCCGTGGGAGAATGGACTTCCAACCATTGATCGACCTGTTTAGTCATCCAAGGTTTTCCCGCATGGTATCCAACTCCTATTTAGTCATCCAAGGTTTAAACATGACTTTGATCGACCTGGTCCGTGTGGGGATCCTATCCTCACCCTTCGGAACCAACCATTGTGCGATTCTCTCTAACCTAGCAACATAGGACATGACATTTGATCCTTCACCATAAGTTCTTCCACGTTTTTTAGAAGGGTTAGTTGTTGGATCAAGGTACCAGGCGTCTTCGTAAACATGAATAAGTTGTTCTCTTTGAGATACACTTATTGACGTCGTGGGTTCGTAAAAAACGACCATTATCGTTCTAGCTTTAGACCAGTTCACCGTGGCTCTGTCTATTTCATCGCTGAATGTGAATATTCCGACTCCATCCAGGATTTCGGTTACCCCAAAGTCAATATTCGTCTCTGGGAACAACCCACCGTCAAAACATAGGTCAAGAAGAGATTTGATTATTGTTGACTTGTCATTTTCCGAAAGGGCCAAAGGTCCAGCGCCTCCATTTCCCTGTCCACCACCGAACAGGGGCGGGGGGGGGGAGAGGGGGGCGAATTCATGCTGATGCGATCTAAACACACCGACTCTCGCCCCGTCCGAAAAATATTCATGTTAATCGAGTCGTCAGCTAATCTAAGCCCTAATTAGACCTATTTGAAAAGGTGTGACTAAATTAAGTTGAATAATTCGGCACGTGATTACGATTGGCTATAGGCCCTAGGGTGAGGGTTGCGTGAACACAGTAAGGTTTAGAAATTGTACTTACCCTCTCTAGGCTCACCAGCATTCAGGGCTTTCTTCTTCGATTGGGAAAGTCGCGTTGTTGGTTCCTTAATTAAGTCTTCCTCTGGCCGGTGGGGTTCATAAATTTTCCTCATCAAGCACGTGAGCGCCTAAGCGCCACGTCTATTCCGCATGCTCAACATTAAACCAGTTGTATAAGTTTAACTCCCGACCACTACTCCGCCTCCATTCCTCCTCCTCCTCCTCCGAAGGAATTTGACCCGGCCATAGCTGGAAGGCTTCAGCAGATTCCACTGAGTGTGAGCCTTGTGCCCGACTCAGTGTTAGCGGCCTCGGTTCTCCTGAACCGATAGCGCACCGTGGAGCGCACCTATGCCCGTCACAACCTCCAATGACTCTCGACAGGAGCTTGGACCTCCCTCCGTTTCCTTTTTCCTTTTAGGCCTCGTCACACTACTCGCCATCCGCCAACATTTTCATTGCATGTGGACATCATTTTGTCCAGATGCATTCGAAATCTTGGCGGATGGCGAGTAGTGTAACCGGGGTCTTTTTCTTTCTTGAGATATCATCATCGAACTGACTGGCCCTAAGTTAGGGTCTCGTTAGACACTCCTAAAAGTTCCTATTTTTAGGATTGCGTCTTGGTTGCACGCAATCCTAAATGGGACGCGGGAATCGAAAATGTGAAAACGGCGTTAGGACTCGTCCTAAAAGATTTAGGATTCCCCAGCCAAATCGTCCTAAATTTTCCAGTAGCCCCGGACCTACTGAAAAATTTAGGATTCCCGCGTTTCACGGAGTCGTCGCGTCGCGAGAATGGCACCGTCGACATGGAGGCGCTGGTCCAGGAGAGGTCCATCGGGCCGGTGGGCGGACATCGGAGGTTTTCTGGCGGTCGACGGCGGTAACGGCCCCCATCGATAGCCGTTGGCCGGTGGGGTGGAGCGCGCGGGGCGAAGCGTGGCCAGGAGGGCGGCCGTTGCAGACCGTTGGCTCGGGTGCGGGCAACGGAGGAGTCCCCACACATCTGCACGATGACACACGGAGGCGGCGTGGGCGCCAACGGTCAGTTTTTGAATCGGAGGCGCCAACGTTTGTCGTCTTCGCTGCCGGTCAACGGCATATGAAAGTCCAACGGCCTTGTCCGCGGGCATGCGAAGAGAAAGTTCAGCAGGATGTCACGTGCAAGGTCGCCTGTCGACGTCGAATTCATGGAAGATATGTAGAGGAGATTACCTCTGCTGCTGCTCGTTGTGGTCGTCTTCCTCTTTGTCGTCTTCCTCCACGTGTGCTTGTCGTGCCGGCCGTGGAAGCAACGTCGAAAGCGCAGGGCGTCGACGAAAGACCACGTCGTGCTTCAAGAGGAACGTCCCATGGCGGGTATGAAGGCACGCGCTGTTCTGCGTACAGCTGAGGGCAGAAGAAGACCTGCGACGACGGAGCCTTCACGGCGATACGACCCGTCCATGTACAGCCATCGGCCGTCGTGGGAGACGCCGCTGCCTCCCTCGGACGAGGAGCCGGAGGGGGATGAACTTCCAACGTTTCCTCTCGCCAGCGGGTCGACGCAGCTATTGTCGCAGACGGTGCTCGTAGGCGGGTCGGCAAGCAACGAACGAGGCGAGTACACATCACTCCTGCAGCAAGGCTTGGGAGACGACGACGACGACGGGGGAGTTGATCTCCGTTTCGGTTTGAGTTCTGGCGGTGCCAGGGAGGCGAGCCGCACGGTCTTCACCGCCGCCCATGCTTCCGCACGTGGCCTGCAACAGCCTCGAAGGGTGCAGACGGAACCTTCCACAGTACGTGGCGGCGCAACCGTCGCTGGCGGTGTCGGGTCTTCGCCAGCAGCCCGGCAGCATGTATCGAGTGCGCCGTCCGGGGAACGATTGACTGATAACTCGGACGTGCAACTGCTGCCGCAGCAGCGTCCCTGCGCACCAGCGGTGCACGCTCGTCAATGCTGAACCGAACAACGCCCGCGCCACCCGAAGGGAGGGACGAGGGCACCTGCAGACCACCGGCGGGTTCAAAAGCCAGTGTGGAGAACATCACTCGAGGCGTGTCAAACTTGCGGGCACACAGCAATGACGGTGACGGCGATGGCTGTGGCGGTGACGATGCCGACGAAGGATTCAGGGAGGAAGTCGAAGCGGGGGACGACGACGACGACAATGCTGTGCGGCCTGTGGGGAAGACGGGTGGGAGGAGTATAGGACGCAGCAACCGTGGTGGCCGTGGTCGATCCGTTGGCCGTGGCGGCAGAGGTGGCATCACTGACGACGGAGGGAAGTCTGCGACGTACTGGTTGACGGACGAGCAAATGCTCCTTGTCAGATGCCAGCGGTAGTAGGAGATGCACCTCGCCGGGCTGGGCCACAATTACGGCCGGATGCGGACGAAGGAGTGGAAGTGGGTCGACATTGCGAAGCGCATGGCGAACGGTGGGAGCCCTAAAGACGCAGACGACTGCATGAAGAAATGGGACAATTTGTTCCAAGACTACAAGAAGATACAGAGGTTTCAGAACATGAGCGGGCGGCCAGATTTCTTCAAGTTGTCCAACGACGAAAGGAAGGAGCACAACTTCAAGTTTCGGATGGAGAGGGTGTTGTACAACGAGATCCACTCCGGCATGTTGGGGAACCATACTATTTTCCCTTCCAACATCGCCAACGCCGTCAGTCCGGACGGGGTGCAGCTGCCCAGGAGAGGAGCGGGTGGCGGGAGTATGTTGACAGTGAGGGCGGTGGTGAGGGCTGCCCCGAAGAAAGATCTTCTGCAAGGGACTCCGACTTGAACGCATGCAGTGTTGCCGGAGGCGGGAAGCGTAAGAATGCGCTCCAGCAGACGTTGGAATCCATCGCTGATGTCATGGACCGCCATGGTGAACTGATGTCATCGACGATTGAACCGTCCAGCAAACGGCTATGCAACATTTCATCGAGGCAGTGCGACATACAAGAACGGCAGTGCGACATACTCGCGCAGGAAGTAATGGTCCAAAAAGCGCACTATGCGGCGTTCGACGAGACGCAGAGGATGATGTGTCACGCACTTATGGAGATCGCTGCCGCCATCCCTGGTCGTTCGACGATGTAGCCCATCGAATCGTTTTTTGATTATGTTGCTGCCATTGCGCTCGGAGTAACCATGAAGATTTTTTATTTTTATTTTTTTTTCATGTCGATTTCTTCTGCGTAAGATGACGGAGGCAGACCGCACAATATGGTTCTGCTTGCGAAATGGTTGCCACTGATGAGCGGAGCCGTCTGCGCTGGATTTACCGCATTTCGTGGCGTGAGTCATTGTATTGGTGAAAAAGTGTGTGTGTGTGTGTGTGTGTGTGTATGTGTGTCTGTGTGTTGTGCCTGTAATGGTGTTTTTTTTTTTTTTTTTTTTTTTTTCTTTTTTTTGGCGTGAATGTTTCATATAAGGGGGGGGGGGGGGGGGGGGGGGGGGGGGGGGGATGGTTTGCCAGGGGGCTCTGCTTTCGAGGAAGAGGGTGGCATGGGGGCGCAGGCGGTATGGGGTGTGCGGGGGCGAAGGGGGGGTCCCTTCGTTTTGGTCGCAAAGGGTGTGGAGCTGTATACTTTCGCGGTTGTTGGAGGATATGACACGACAAGACAGACAGGGCGAAATCACGTGTCATCGTCGACGACGCCCTTTTCCGCTGTGCAGAAATGACATCGTGGCCGCTCCGTCTGCGAAAGGAGTGTCCACTCGTGCGCAACCCAACCCGCATAAATGCAGTACGCAGGAGGGTGTTTCTTGTACAGAAGCCCGCTGCGCTTGCTCCGTCGTGGCTCTTGTATTCCTCTCGCACGCGCGCTGCTCCGTCTTTGGAGGGTGTTTCCCGCACAAAAGCCCGCCGCTCATGCTCCGCCATTGTAGACATCTGGAGACGTGGAGATCGGCCGTCATTCTCGCCGCGCTACATTGCCCTTTCTCGCCGCGCTACATCGCCCTTCTCGCCGCGCAACAACGCCCTTCTCGCCGAGCCACATCGCCCTTCTCGCCGTAATGCTTCTCGCCATTCCCGCCCTTCCTACCGCAAACCTTCTCGCTGTAAAGCGTCGTTGACTTCTTCTTGCGAAGGACGGTTCTTCTGCGGCCAGCGGGGTCGTCATCCTTCTACCCTGCACGTCTGCGTCGTCGTCTTCTGCCCTGTCGTGGAGGCTTCTTCCTTGGCGTCGCCGCGCCACAGCACATCGCTGGGAGATAGGAACGGGGGTCGGCGAAGCGCTTCCAACTGCTTAAAGGGGGGGGGGCAAAAGGTGTCACCACATATCTGCGGCCATCATGTCGATGCGAGGGAGCGCCCATGGTATGAAGCTCGATGCCGCAGCCGCCGTCAAGCTTGTGCAGGCAAAAAGTCGGCGCCATATCCCGAAATCGAAGAAGGTGCGCTCCGGTGATGCGTCAGGAAGCGTGCATGCTCGCGGTTTCGAAGGTTGGGCGGCCGCAGCGGAAGTGTAGTCGGACGACGACTTCGAGACGGAGGAACCGCAGGCGAAGGCAACGGCGTCGGCGGTGCGACAGAGCGCTCGCCAGCGAGCTTCTGATCACAGCGCATCGAAGAGGATGCGCTCCCCTGCACCCGAGGCGCAGCAGGCGCGTGGCCGCGATGCAAGGACAGACAAGGTTGTCGTCGTCGTGGCGGAAGGCGATGATAACGAGACGTTGGAAAGACGTCGGCAGCGCAATCTTGCACAAGCGGCCGCAGCCCCGTTGATGACTACACGCCTCCCCGAAAAGGAAGTCGTGCCAGAGCGACGCGCAATTGAGGGCGAGGTGGCAAGTGCTGCGGGCGGGACTGCCACAGGGAACTTGGTCCCCGTGGCGACGGCGAGAGAGGAGGCAGCAGCTGCGGCGGCGGTGAGAGAGGACACGTGTGGCGAGAAGACAACCAATCGGAAGGGCGGCGATGTTGGTCCGAGCTGGGTGCGCAAGGAAATCATGAGCAGAGAGCTCATCGACCGCGCCGTACTCTGGGTGGATGACAAAGCATTTTGGATGACGGGGGAGGGGCGGAGATTGTACAACATCATCCACGAAACACGGGAATACTTCGTCGCCATTGCCAGCGGCCTTTCAGCGACTGCCGTCTCTCGCAGTGTCATCCTGCCGAAGTCGAGCACCAGGGTAGCCAGGATCTCCGACCATCGCAGCTGCAGCAAGCGATCTCCCGTGCGGCGACAGTGGAGAACGTGGCTTTGCGAGTCTTGCACGATTGGGTTTTCAAGTCCGGGACCTGCGCTAGGGGGTACAACCTAGCTTTCCAGTACGCACTAGAGTCCGTAGCAATGGACATCGCGCGTGCTATGTGGTACGGCGAGAACTGGTCCAACGTCGTCAGCGCGCCCATCTGCGGCCACACGATAGATCTCAACATGGACTTGCCACTGTGGTTCGCCAGCGCCCACATCGACGACAGACCCGACGACGACGATATGGCGGCGTACCAGGAGTCGACCGTCATCTGCATCGCCCAAGCATTCCGCGCGGCGGTGCAGATGGGAGCGCATATCGACAACGATTTCATCTCCTACGACCGTCTTTGTCGGGTGGCTGACTGCTTCAGACTTCTGTTGGCGGCGACAATGTGGATAATGCGCTTGGCGGGAGACGACTCCCGCAGCCACTACGAGGCGTTCTACTCCGTCAACTTGCTGGCCAAGCCTACACTGGTCGCGTCCATGCATCGCTCCTTCGACCATCGACGATCCGTCGTCCGCGCCGTGAAAGTCGTCACCAAGAGGCTTGGGAAGGAGAACCCCACGTTTGGCGAGCACCCCGACTACATCCCTCAATGGGCACCCTGCGGCATTACTTTCGGCCACGACGCCAGCTTAACGGGCCCGGAGGATTGCAAGAGGCTTGATTGGGTTGACCCCCCGATGACGACGGCAACGACGACAAGAAAGAAGGCGCGTAGGGGGTGGGGCGGCGGTTGTGATAGTCCTCGAGCATGTCCACGTGGCACATCGACGTGAGGGGCTTCACC